TCGCATAGAGGATCGTCTCCGGGGAATACATGATTTCCTTCTCTGGTGACGTCGACATAGCGACGAGCTCCACGAGTGCGCTCGAGATCAATCTCGAGGTCACGACAGTAGCGACTGACGACCTCTATGCCTCCATTCCCATCTTGGGCGGCGCTGCGCATTTGCTCGTTAGGCACGCGCCTCAGTGCTCCGCGCGCGTTAGTCCGAGTCCGAGCCCCGCCAGCAGTGGGTTGATCACGCCAGGTCCAAACCACTTCCCTGAACCAACTAGTCCTGGTTTCCAAATAAACACAAATTACCCCTCCGTGAGGGTAGGTGGCATGCGGTGCCTGTCACGGAGGACTCAGAATAATCAAATTCGTCTGTCCAAGGCAGTCCAAGCTTTCATAGCGGCTCGGCGGAGTTCTTCCGCTCGGTGGAAAACTTGCACCGGACCGGTAGACAGGTGCTCGGGATCTCTGGGATCATCGGAGAGCAGCGTCGCTGGTAGACGCTGTGTAGAACCGAAAACCCGCTGCCTAGATGAAACAATCACTCAGACACTGGTCACGGTTCCGCACAGAGCAACACCCCCCCCCCCCATAGCATACCATTCGGCTGGAGTGCCCAGAGCTACCCGATGAACGGCTAAACGTAGCTGTCCTTTCCATTCCTTCCCAGCGCGTCCTGTTCGACCGTTCTTCTGTCGTGGAGAGCGGGCATCAATAGAAAAAAAAACACGAGGCATGTTATCGGTAAATGTTTCCTGAAACTCCGTTCCAGGAGCAACTACGACAACCTCTGGCATGCCAGACACTCGTGCACATGTGCGTACACATGCCTGTCAAGCTACATCTGCTGACTTCCCTGTCCCCACGTGTCCATGCACGCGGCGCGCCATCGAGTGGGTCCTTGACCTCGACCAAGCCAATGTCAACGACGTTGTTGAAGCGATAGGGCATAGGAACAGCAGCAGGATGGCGAGCGCAGGGCCGCTCGTTCGCACCGCGCCAGTCGAATTTGAAGTTCAATACCCAGCGCGTTGCCTCAGGCGTAGCATTGCCCCGCCTCAGAAGTCGAGAGCAATCTCGATTCCCAGGATTACCAGAGTTATCGTGGGCAAGTTTGAGGTCGGCCAGCAGGTCGGCAGCAGGTGCTCAGTCTGGCTGAGCAGGTACTTAATCATCGCTAGCAGGTCCGGCGCTGGGACCACCAACGGGGGCCCCCCCGGGCCCATCTCTTCAGGAAATGCTTCCAAGGAGGACGGAGGCTGGCATTGTTCACTGAGAGCGCCTGCTTGATCTGCTCGACCTGTTGATAGGGAATCGTTATAATGCCGTCGCTGTCGAGCTCCGAAGATGAAGTGTAGGCTCCGCAGTCGCCATTCTCCCCCGCGCGCCTCGGCCGCTTCGACCGAGTCTTGCGCAGCGGCGGACTGCCAAGAACCGCCCGCAGCACTTCGGCGCACAGCCAAACGCGCACCCGATACTAGAACAGCTAGGCTTACATTGATAGCATCTGGGGAAGTGAGCTGCCAAGCCTGGCTGAGACAGGTGCTCTAAGGGCAGATGCTTGCCAGCAGCGCGCCAGCGAAAATCGCGCGGGTAGCAACCTCGCGGCAAAAGACATCATATCCAATTCACGTCTTGCCCAAGGCGCGGACGCATGACGGCCCAGACCAAACGTCCGGAATAAACCCGGTAAAACCATCTGAATAGACAACCGCTGTCATCCGCTCGTCGGTAAAATCATCTGCGGGCGGGGGGCCGACGAAGCCAGTCGGAATAAAGAGGGCGTCGCGGGGTCCCTGATACACTCGGACATGTTCCACGCGACCATTGAGAACATCTTCTGCGCGCGAATCCATCGGACGTCGCGCTCCTCCACGACCGCCTCGAAGCCACCCCTGCGCATGATGCTCTCGCGCATCTCGCGCTCGGCCGCGCGTGTAGCAAAGCGTCGGAATTGTTGATGCGTTGCTGGGTCGCCCGACCAGTGGGCCCTCGTGCGCCACTCGCGAAGCTGGAAGTCCATCTCGTAGATCCCCTTGATGGCGTAGCCCGCAAAACTCTCGAACGCCGCTCGCTCCACGAGGTCTGGGGCGCCCGTGCTGATGAAGCCGTCGATCGGGGACCGCGTCCAGCGCATCTGGCAGTCGTCGCACGTCCACCACGGGGTCTTATTGCTGCCCCATGGCGCAAAGCGTTTTCGGGGCGCGCGCGCGCGGACTGGTCGGTCTTCGTGGTGCCCGGGCCGTCGGGCTCCAGCCTCTTGCCCACCGCGAACCACTCCCCGCTGCTTATCTTCAGAACTCGAAAAAAAAAAAAAAAAAAAAAAAAAACGCGCGTCGCGAGGCTGTTGCGCGGGCGATGCCGCCTCCGGATCCAGGCTCATGGCGCCCCTGGCAGGTTCTCGCAGGTGCTCGCGCCGATGCGGGCCTGCGCGCGGCGCCCTATGGCCACGCGGCCCAGAATGGAGAACAATTTCAAACATAACTGCTTCCATTTCCACGTCCGCCTCTCTGTGGTCACCGCGGGGTGACTGGACCTGCCGGCGGTCGGAGGTCCCGGCCGCGGCCACTTCTTGGCGAAGATGCGCCGCGCGCGACTCAACGTCGCACGGAGCGTCGGGAGAGCGGACAGTGGGCTGAGACAGACAAGTTCGAGCCGAGGGCGCCAGCGGATTCACGTAGAATGCGGCGTCTTCCTGCTCGACGACTTGGCGGCGCCCCTGAGTATTGGGAGAGACTGTTATGATGATCTTTTTCCTCTGCCAACCATCCTCGGGAAAACCGAACATACCGATCGCAATGTGCTTGCCTGCCGCTACCTCGCACGCCTAGGACGCTGTCGAGTGTCTTCCAAGCGATAGCGCCACCTGGCAAATCAAGAACCATGCCAAGTTGTCTGAGCATTTCCACTGGATATAACAACGGCACATCACAAGCAAGCAAATGCACCACAAACACACCGCAATACATTGCCACATCAGTAAGTAGGGTCCAGCTGGAGATAAACTTGGCAGATATCCTAACGCCCGTTGCGTTAATCTCCAGCGCAAGTATCTGCATAGGCTTCAGAGCGCAAGTATGTCCATGATATCGCACCATTTTCACGAACTGATATTTGCCACATACTCCGCGCTGAGCTCCAGCGCCCACCCAACCAAAACCATATGAACCTGAAGTCCAACAAATATCTGATCTCCACTGTCGGCAATCGCAAAGATAGGAAAGATGGGAAACAAACCGATTCCAGACTGGATCGTAGGTTCCCGTTGACAGACGTCGCACGCAGCATCGCCTGGGCTGCTTGGAGGCCGCCGAAGCTGGCTTGTCGCTCGCGCCATCGTTCGTCTGGCTCGTTCGCACAGCCCCTGGCCCAGTGTCCCAGTTTCACACATCGGGCACATTTCGAGCGAGTCATCAACCTACCTGTGGTCCACCGCTTCGGTCGGGCATGTCCAGCGCGCCCCCCTTGACGCGCTCCCTTTCGGGACCCATGTGCCCGGTGCTCAACCGTATCCCAAGCAGCGCCGTTGAGCTTGGATTCTCTAAAGCGCATGCATCATTTTAAGACCTCTGACAGGGCCCTGCGCTTCTCGAGTTCTCGGAAAAAAAAAAAACGCGCGCTTGCGCGCGCTGTGCTTGACCGAAGAATCATCTCGCTTACGCTTGGTGCCGTCTGAGTAGAATAGTTTCTCTTGCGGTCGTATTTGGCATAGCGATGGATGAGGTATCCGCGTTGTGCTTTCAGAGCTCTGGTAGTAGCGAGCCGCATCTGCAGCTCCTTGATGTAAGGGTCTAGACGAATATCGGCATCAACCCAAGTGGGAGGTAGGTCGCGTGGTATCTTTGGGGCCTCCGATTGTTCATACAATTGCTCTGGTGGGCGATCGGAAGATCTGGCAATGGTATCTCCCCAATGGGTCGGGGCAAGAAGGGTGAGAGACACGGCCTGTCCTCGCAGGGGCGTGATCTGCCGATCTGGTGCAGCCGGCGAACCACGTTCACACGCGGTCCCCCAGCCGCGTCTCCGCCCGGGGCTGTGATGACCAGCGGGCCCAGTCCTGATCTGACCAGCCCACGTTGTCATCACCTTCCCAAGGAACGTCTTCTCGTCCTCCAGCTCCTGCCCAACGATCCTGACCTGGTTGTGACCAAGGATCTGCTGGAAGTTCGTCTTCTTGAAGCTGAGCGCCGTCTGGAGAATCCATGGCGGCGCTCGGCGCAATAGGGTGGGGAGTGGGAAGAAAGGAGAAGGGTAATACAGAATATGCCACCCGAGAGTCGAATAACAGGGAAGTCGTCCTGACTCCCCTCGTGGATCTCAACCACAGGCTCCGCTGCCACTGTGGATTGTGCGGGAGGGGTTGTATGGATACAGAGAGACACGAGGTACAAATAGGGGGACCGTGCTAGAAGAGAGCACGCCCTCTTTGTTTTTGAGAAGGCGTGGGCGCGTCCGTCACTGGCGCGCCATAATAGCTCAGCGGCCCTTGTGAGTCGATATGGCGGCGCACATGGGAGTACAGAGAGAGGCGCAGGAGGGGGAGAGGCTGACAGGGGCCAGGAGGAGGAGGAGGAGGAGGAGGAGGAGGAAAAGGAGGATAGGGAGGAGGAGGAGGATAGGGAGGGAGGGAGGAGGAGAGGAGGAGGAGGAGGAGGAGGAGGAGGAGGAGGAGGAAGAGCGGTCAACCCCGCTGAAATGGTCTGTTCATACGGGTTGTACGTCCGCCACCGCCTGAACTCATTTCAACCGTCCTTGCTCTCTGAACTGTTTTTGTTTGGCTGCCTTTTATCGCTCAGCGGTAACGGACAGCCACAGAGCCAATAGGAACCAATAGGAGGAGGAGGAGGAGGACGAGGAGGAGGAGGAGGAGGAGGAGGAAGAAGAGGAGGAGGGGGAGGAGGAGGGGGAGGACAGGGAGGGGGGGAGAGGAAGGAGGATCAGGAGGGGGGGAGGAGGTGGGTGGGGGGCAGGAGCAGGGGAAGGGGCCACTTTGCTGCCGCCCCCCCGGGCCTGAAGCTCAGGCTGAGCGGCTTGGTGAAGTCCTGGCGCGGCTGGCACGCTCCAGGCCGTCATCGCAGCAGCCAGCGGGCAAGGAGCAACAGCAGGGGCGGGTGGGGGATGGGTGGGTCCCTGGGGGGGGTCCTCTTAGAAGCCTCCTGGGCCGTCCTGGAGGCCTCTGGGGCCGCCTCGGGCGATCCTGAGGCCATCTTGCGCCATCTCGGCCCGTCTTGGAGACATCCTGGGGCCATCTTAGGCTCTTTTGGAGCCAGCCATCGTAGCCGTCCTGGGGTCTGGGGCCAGGCGGGCTGGGGGGTCCACGGACGCGACGGTGGTCGAGGCAGTGCGATTCGGGTGCTTTGCGTGGGGAGGCGGCGGAGAAGAAAGAGCGTGAGGAGTCGGAGGAGCGGTACGCGGAGAATGAGCCACGGGTTCCCGCACCCCGCATGCGGCGGTCACGAATCGCAGAGACGACGCTTCGGCATCCCCACTGGCCCTCGGGTCACAGGTTGCTGAGAGCGCTTACTATTGCAACACCCCTTCTGCCCCATCGGGGAAGGGTTTACCCCTCACCCTACCTCCTGCCCTGGGGGTCTCGACCAGGATGTTGCGACGCTTTGGGGCGTCCAAGATGGCCCAAGATGTCCCCAAGGTGGCCTCACATAGCTCAAACTGACCTCGAAGAAGACACTAAATTGACCAGAGTGACCCCAGAGGATCCTGACATGCTCCAGTCCTGCTCTAGAACGGCTCCAAGCGGACACCGGCCGAGCCTCTCAAGGATACCCCCGAGAGGCCCAACAACATTCAGCACCCTGTGGGTTTTTGACATGGTTTTGGCCCTCCAGCCTCTTCGCTTCCGACTGGCTCCTGAAGACCAGATCGCCCGAGAGAAACGCGGGAGTGACCCAGAAAACAAGGGCCCCCAACTTCGCGCTTCGCGCTGCGCGAAGCGCGAAGTGCGAATAATTTCGCGCTCTCGCGCCGCCTCCCAAGGGAGAAGGAGAGGATGAGGAGGAATCGGAGCCGAACCGCGAAGCGCGAATAACTTCGCGCCCGCGAGGGCGCCCTTGGAACCCGTGCGCGAGGTGCACCTGAGGGGAACCCTGGAGCACCCCGAGCGCAGCAGCTCCTTCAACGGCTGCGGGAAGCCACCGCGCAGCGCGAGGAGCAACGAAGCCCAGGATGCCCGGACGAAAAGCATCCGGTTTCTTGATGCGCGCCCCTCCCTGTACTTCGCGCGCCGCATCAGCTCAAAGCCGGTCTCGGTGGACAGCCTGACGCGTTCGCAGGATTTCGGCCTTCCGGGGGGCTATCCTTGGGAGGCGTTGGGGCCGAGATGGCTCGACTGCGGCCCCAGGAGCCTCAGGATGGTCTCCAAGATGGCGCTGGATGGGCCAAGTCGGCTCGGTATGGCTTCCAGCATGCCTCCAGGAGGCCCCCAAGACGGCCCAGCGATTGCTCCATACGGGCTTGGACCTCCCCCTGTAGCACCCGAGAGGTAAAAACTATTCAACCACGCACTGCGAAGTCGGGCGTGTTGCCCTACAGGGGGATTACCGACGAAAAATAAAACATACGCAGAACATTTTTTTTCAAGGCAAACAAGCAGGGGAGAAGGAGGAATCCGTTGACCTCGGAGCTGGCCTTGTGGAAGAGGCGCTTCATCTCGACCTCATCGCCCCATTTGTCGGCAGTCTGTGCAAAGCGGAGCTCATCAAGCACGATGCCCCACAGTGTGTGCCGAGGTACCCAACTTGGAATAATTGGGGATCGACTTGAGCTGCTACGCTGCCGCCAAGTGAAGAAGACGGGAGTGTGGTCGCTCAAGTCGAAGCGGGGGAGCGCGGCAAGTCCAGGAGAGGCAACGCGAACGTCAAGATTGCTTAGGAGAGAGCTCGGTAGCGATGTAAATATGCGGTCGATCCGGCTGTACTGAAGATGTCCTGCAGCATCAACCTCTTTCCTCGTGAAATCGTCCTGCATCAGCTCGGTGAGCAGTTCAAGACATGGCAGCGTGTCAAAGGTGTCCCGTACGACGGTGCCAGTGAAGGTACCAGTGGTGGCATCAAACCGGTCGGACTCGCATGCAACCGAATTGAAGTCCCCAAGAAGAATGAGAGTGGCCTCAGAATAGGTACGCACCACCGAAGACAACTCTTCTAGTAGCTGCTGCCGGTCTCCCTCAACATGCACACCACATATCACCAGATGCCCCCGCGACCCAAGCAGAGACAGAGTACAGAGTCGATCAACGATACGTGGATTGAAGTTGATCTCTGGGAAGTCGGCGAGGAAGGTGCTCTTGACCGCAATCCCGATCCCCCCAGCATTCGGGGCAGCGTCAGAGTCACACCAGAAGAAACGATGGTCCCCACAAAGCTTCCGCTCAAGAGTTCTGCTTCTCTTCTGGGCAGAATGGGCCTCGAGGAAAATGGTGAAGTCGTGGCGGTAGGCGAGGTTTACGGCGTACCTGGATTTGAGTTTCCTGCGTTGCGGGCCCACGCAACACAAGCCCCGTGCATTCCAGACGCACCCGGAGAGGTCGCCCGAGAAATAGTTGGAGTAGGCAGCACGGGAAGAAGAACGAGAAGTAGGAGGAAGAGGGTCAAAAGGCAAAGTTCCCTGCTCTCTGAGCGGACGCGTTGAAGAACACGTGGCTGTCGGAGCTTGTCCCGGAGAGCGTGCCTGAGGAGTCGCGTCGCTCCCTCTGCGTGCCCGCGTCGATGAACACGAGGCCCCCGGCGCAGAAGGAATTGAGAAAGAAGTGGAGGATGCGTGCACAGATCCCGATAAATTAGTCGAATTCTCCGGCCATGCCGGAAGATGCATGTCATCATGCTCTTCTGCATCGTCACGCCGCCGTGGGCGCCATCAGCGTGAACGCCGCTGCGAATCCACCTCGGAGGCCATCGAGGCCGCCGTCTCTGGGGAAAGCTCCACCTTGTCGAGCCCGTTGGTGTGCACGCGGGTGGAGACGCCGTCTTCGAGAACCGTGAAGATCGTGATCAGCTGCCCCATGCCGCCAACGTCGACGAACACCTCACCCTTGCCACGTCGACACCCGACCTGGCCGTGGAGGCCTTTTGTAGTCATGTGCTGTTCCAACTTCTGCCATAACTGTGAGATTACCCATCCCCGGACGCGTTCATCGGGTGACCGGTCCCATTGAAGCGAAAGTGGAATAGATTCCGAACCAATAGTAATCCGTGGGCCAGCGCGGATGGACTCTTCGAGGATGGCCTTCGCCGAAGCGGAGTCGTTGAAGATGAGGCGCGCGTGCTTGGTGTTGCTGGCGGCGCGGATTTGGGGGAGCGGAGTGTTCGGTGAAAGCGACTGGAAGACCGTTTCAGCATGCTTGACCAGCGTCTTGGACCACATGGGACATGGGAAGCCTTTGAGCACGAGGACTTTGTTGTCGGAGTCGTCGTCGATGCGCGTTGCCCGGTAGCCAGGACCTTCGCTGCGTGCACGCTTGGAGCCAACGCCACCTGCGTCAGCTCGAGATTCCAAGGCCGTGGTTCTCTCCTGGAGCTTCCGGATCTCCTCCATAAGTTCATCATGATGCTGCTTGAGTCGGGCTTCGAGTTTGGTGTCGAGCAGCTGCTCCATCTCCCTCATGATGTCGCCCTTCAGATCCTGACGCAACTTTCCAAAACCGGTGTCCAGCAGAGTCTGGATGTCCTTGAGCTGCGCCATGAATGTCCTGGGAAGTTCGTGGACAGACTAAGTGGTGGAGTCCTGGGGGCTAGATGCTTGTGCCAAAATGCTTGAGCCAAAATGGCTTGAGCCAAAATGGCTTGAGCCAAAACATACGCAGAACATGCTCCAACATGGCCACAAAATGCTCAAAACATAGTCCCCAGACTATGTTTTACTATTCTTGAATATTCCCCCTGTAGCGGGATAGGCCCGACTGAACCGTAGCACCCGGCGGGTCAAAACCATTCAACGACGTTGTTGTTTGCATTAATCGTTGCGCTACACTGCGCTGCTCCAGATCGGCACCGATTGCCGTGCCCATACGGAACTCGATGGGAAAAAGGGCCCGCGTGCCTTTAGCAGGAAGGCCGACGTCGTAAACGGATTGCGTATCTTGAAGGAGACATGCAAACGTTCCTCAATCGCTCCTCTGAAGGGGCCCTGGGACACACAAATAAATACACACAAATAAAAAGACTCTCCATATTCTCCCATATTTTCTGGGTTTTTGTCTTCCCCACCACTTCCCATATTTTCCATATTTTTTGGGGAATGGAGGATTAATTGTGTCTGTGTGTCTCTTTCCCTCCTGATCCTCAAGCGGGCAAACCATTCCACGGCGTCCTGTTGCTCCGATGGCTGGGGGCCCGCTCGCCTGCTCGCCTCCGCCGGGCGTCCGAGGCCTCAGCGTGGCTCCGAGATCTCTCGAAGAGGGCCCCAAGAAGGACCCTGACGAGCTCCACGACTGCACCAAGTCGGGAGCGGCCAAATGGGGGTGTCCAAGAGGAGGGGGTGCAAATCATGACCGTCGGCATGTGCGCGGCCCAGCGGGGGGGCCAGGGACGTGATGAAATAAGAAGAGGCGCCATGAGATCTGAGGAAATATCATGGCCCACGCCATGATATCCACCCCCCCTAGTCATCCCCCCCTCTTTGCCGCCCCCGACCAAGAGCTCCCCAGAGCGCACCGTTGGCGCCCCAAGGGGCGATGTTTAGGTGCGGAGGGAACGTCATGCCCGGGTCTTTGGCCGATTCTCCAGCAAGTCCCCAGCGGGGCCGCAAGGGAGCCCCAAGAGGGCGCCAGGGGGGCCCAGAGGACTCACACATTGCACCCACGTGGTCCAAATAAGCTTTCCAAGAAGCTCCCATATCGCACGGTCCGCAGAGGCACGTGCGGTTGCCTTGTGGGTCTGCTTAGGCTGATCCAGGACTTTGGCTGGCTGGCTGCCCCCCTCTTTGTGCCTATGCTTGCTCCTACACTTCCCTGATCAGGGCAACTCGCCTGGGCATCGTTTCTGGATGGGCTGGTGGAGGTTAAGACGAGGCCAGGGTGAGGATCAAATCGGGTGAGGATAACTCGAGAATCGCTGAGATCTGACGGCGCTGGAAAATATCTCGGGCGCAACGGCCTTCTCAGAGCGCTCCGGAACGCTCTGAGAGCGTTCTGAAGCGCTCTGGAACGGATTTATCCTCGTTCTAGCCCCGCCCGAAGATACCCAATAGTTCCAATCTGGCTCTGCACATTGTCGCGTTGGGTGGGATGTGCGGCAACGCCCCTGCTGACCCATGGGCCGGCTCGCTCCATGTGGAGGTGCCTAGGGAGAAGGGGGGACAGGGGAGAGCACCTGCAGCGGCAGCTGCAGCGACAGCGGCTGCAACAGCAGTAGCGGCAACGGCAGTCCGCTTCGGCGCACGACCCTCTGGCTGAACCGAAGGCGAATATCGCAACCGCTCCTTGTGATAAAGGTTGGCATCGCCCAGCATGACTGAGAAAAGGTACGAGTCACGCAGAGAAAGAGAGAAAGAGAGAGAGGAAGAGAGAGAGAGAGAAAGAGAGAAAGAGAGGGAGAGCCACTCTTCGCCAAAGGAACTTCTACTGCTGAGCTCTTCGGTCGGCAGCAATGGATCCCCGAGACTGCCAGCGGAGCCTTGGAGGCCCTCAAGAGGCCCCTCACCCTCCACCTCCACCTTCCATACCTTCTGACCTCCGCGGAAGGTGCGGAATAATTCATCGAAACTCATGGACACCTTACGCAATTCGAGGAAACCCAAATAATTATATCATATCGAAAAAGGGGCGACGAATGACGGGGAGGGTAGAGGCCCAAGAGAGGCCCCAAGAGGCCCAAACGGCTTCAAAGAGGCCTCAAAAGAACTGCCTCCAAAATCTGGATGAAGAAAACAATCCCCACCCCCACCAGGGAAACATTGGCCCAACTGGGCAATCTACCCCCCCCCGAGGTGGGGATGGGCACCGTCTCCTTCGGGCTTCGGAGCACCCCTCCCCGCACAGAGGGGGTACGCTGGAAGAGCCGACTTCTCCTGCCCCAGTAGGGGCGCAATGGTTCCGACGATGGTGACAGCCTCCGAGAGGCATCCCAGGAGACCCCAGGAGAGGCATCTGCAGCAGGAGCAAGAAACAGGGGAGGGGGGCCCACGGGAAAGCAGCGAGGAGGGGCCTGGAGGCCGGGACGCAGGGAGAACGGGGGCAGGGAGCCCACAGAGAACGTACGCACCCGACCACGTGCATGAACACGGCCTCCCAAGTCCGCGAGACGGGCGCGTTCGCGTAACGCGTATTCTCGAGACCAGCGTGGGGTCATTCGCGTGTGCGTTCTTCTTTCGCTCCTGAAAGCGGAGCAGGCGCAGCGGCCGGGGCAGGAGTTGGGGAGGCCAGGGGCAGAATCGGCAGCGGGAGCAGAGGCAGCACCAGCACCGTGTTTTGTCGGGGCCCCCCAAAAGGGGCCCCCAGGAAGACCCAAGAGGCCCCCAGGAGGCTCCCAGTCCATGGGGGGGCGACAAATGAGGGTGAAGAGACAGGTGCCCTTTTTGGGCCGTCGAGCCCCCCTCTTGGGCCTTGCAGGGGCCCTTCTAGGGGCCCCACACGGGTCCCCTCTTCGACAGCCCTCGCTGCCCCTCCATTGATCGCCGCCAATTACGTGTCCTCCGACCAAAAGACCCCCAAGAGGCTCGGGAAGACCCCAAAAACACCCCCCCCTCGTCGTCCACCTGCTTCATCTCCCTGCCTTCCTCGCATACGGGGTCGGCGGCACCAGCCGTAATGCCTTCACAATGAAGAACGCGAAATAAGAAACGAAACCTCTTTTAGGCACCACAAATGCCCGTGTGCACGAGGATGGCTAGAGGAGCAACCACATCATGACCTAAAGAACATCGAGCTGTTTCCGAACCCGAAAAACTCCGGAATTCAGCTTCAGGGGCGCACATGCGAACACGCTATGCACGAGGGGGGCCGAAGATAATTGGAAACGAACAGACGAGGATGGCCTCCGCAAACAGACAGCCAACATCATCGCCAAACTCGATGCGGCAAAGAAACTACCGTGGGCACCGCACGGCGCGAAGCTCTGAATGGCAAGTGGGGCGTCCAAGGGTCTTGCATCACCACCTTGCGCCCATGTTATGGATGTCGACTGTATGGCTGAAGCAGTATGACCTTGGAGACAGCCGGCGCTGCCAATCAGCTCAAGTGGCTCTCGGTCTCGGACAGCGCGCCAAACTCCGTCGGCACGGCCAGCGGCGCCGCGGAGGCGCGCCGCTGGAGCCCCGCGAGCGCGGCGGCTGCGCCCGAGGCTGCGGCGAGGAGGCACAGCGGGATCGCCGCGGAGGAGGCCGCCGCGAGGGTGCCCGCGTGCGCCGCCGCGCGGCTGTCCCTGCGCGCGTCGTCTAACAGCCGCGCGACGGAGACTTTGTCTAGGCCCTAGGCTCACGTAAACATATGAAGTCCTCTTCGAACATGGGGGGGGGGGCATGCTCCTGAAGCAAATACAACGGTGGCAGGCATCATCAGGGCGGGGACCGAATAGAGGACCTGAAGCTGTTCAGTACGGGCGCATGATTCCACGTATCGAAGATCAGCATACATGAGCTCTTGGTACCAACCGTGCAAGGTCATGGTATTCTCCTCTTGTTCATCATTACCCTGTTCGATTGCGAGACGGCCGTCTCCATGTTCGGATCCCATTGGATCTCGGGGACGGTCGCGTTTCCGCAATCAGAGCCATCTTCGGAGCCACCAGCAAAGTCTGGGATTTTGGCGAGGTCCCCGTCGAACGAATTGACGGTTGTGCTTGCAATCAGGCACCGTACGGGGCGAGCATGGCAACTGCCAGTGATGTCCCAATCGTTGAGAATGGCGTTGGCGGACTCGTAGAACTGAAAACCAGGCTGGACGTCACTGTTGTAATAGGTCAGCGCACTGCGGGCAGCTCCCTGATAGGTCGGCAAGGACTGGGCGCTTCGAGCCAGCCTTACGGCAATGACGCTATCGATCCTGAAGCGAGTCCTGACGATGCAATGCAAAGCCATATGTACCTTTGAGCCGGGTTTTTGCCCAAAGATAGGCGGTGTACCTTCTCGTGGTCGAGAATGTAACCAAATGTGATAGGGGGCATTTCCTGCTGGAAGAACCGCGATATAAGATATGAGGGTTCTGGTGGCCATGTTGTCCATGCCAAAGTCCTTGACCATAAACACTTGCATGGCTTTAGAATTTGGAAACAGACCCACAACATCTCCGATCCCAGATTTGGCTACAAGTTGGCCCCGCTCTGCGCTGGTTTCGGTGACAATGCAAGGGCCATCCCACACATATAATCTTTGATGTTTGCAGTGGCGGTTGGCCAATGGTCATCCACCAAGTCTAAGATGAACAATGGCTTCGGCATCCAAGGAGCGTCTCTCATCCTCCCTCCCTAAATTCTGCTCGGCGCTGTGCGCTGACATGCACAACTGTTCCCACTAGGCATGCCTCTGCTCACGCCGCAGACAGAGAGCGAGGGTGAAAAACAAACAAAAACTGACGAAAGACCCAACCATGTGCGGGAGAGGGAACGAAGGAGGGGGGAGCAGCAAAGTGGACTGCGGCGTGCATGAGCGGGAGAAAAGCTGACGCGGGCGAGCGTGGAGCTTTTTTTGGTTTCGCCCGAGCCACGTGCGCGGCCCTTGCAATGCGGACGCTCCCGCTGGGGCCTTTGGTGGAGCTCCGTATGGGGGCCACGAAACGCGTGAGGGGTGTGCCAAAATGGAGCGGCGGTGCTATGCGGACGCTCCCGCTGGGGCCTTCGGTGGAGCTCCCTTGGGGCCACGAACCGTGCGAGGGGCGTGCCAACATGGGGCGGCGGTGCCATGCGGACGCTCCCGCTGGGGCCTTCGGTGGAGCTCCCTATGGGGCCACGAACTGCGTGAGGGGTGTGCCAAAATGGAGCGGCGGTGCCATGCGGACGCTCCCGCTGGGGCCTTCGGTGGAGCTCCAAGTGGGGCCTTCAGACATGCCGCTGGCCCCCTTGTGGGGCCACCAGGCTGTAGGCCGAAGCTTCGCAGTTTCCTGTACCAGTTGCAGCTTCCAATTTCCAGTTACAAATATGCTTCTTGCTGCTTACTGTTCCTTGTTGACTTCTTGCTGCTTACTGTTCCTTGTTGATGGACCGCGCGAGGGGGGGAGGCCCAAAACGGGCATTTTTACCACGCCCTGAGCGTGTTGTCTGACTTGCTGGGGTGGGTGCAAATTGACACCCCTCACGCAGATCGGCGGGTTCAAGGTCCAACAATACATTGGATTTGCCACATGTTTAAACATTCGGCGGCACCCCTCACGCAAATCGGCGGGGTCAAGGTCCAAAAACAGATGAGATTTGCCACATTTCTGAAATCCGGTTGCACCCCTCACACAGATCGGCAGGGTCAGGGTCCAAAAACATAAGGGATTTGCCACATTTCTAAAATTCGGCGTCACCCCTCACGCAGATCGGCAAGGTCAGGGTCCAAAAACACATGGGGTTTGCAACATGTTTGAAATTCGGCGGCACCCCTCACGCAGATCCGTAAGGCCAGGGTCCAAAAACACAAAGGATTTACTACATCTCTGAAATTCGGTGGCACCCGTGACGCAGATCCGTAGAGTCAGGGTCGAAAAAACAACCAGGTCCAGACACTGCTTCACGGCGGCGCCCAGACCTCATGATTTAGCTTTTGCATCTCCCATTATCCGAGACAAGGGGCAGGCGGCATGGGGCGAAGCCCTTACGGATAATAATAATAACAAATAAATAAATAGATAATAATAAATCATACAGACAATGCGAAGAAGAAAACCGAGAAGAAGAGGAGACACCAACAACAACGCCCCGGTCCTCCAAGATATTGATTGGCAACAAGATTGGCGTGGGCTTGACGTACCGTGCGAAGTACCCGAGGCCCTGGCGGGTCAGGTGGACAAGAGCGCAGAAGATGACGGAGACGAGGAGAAATAATAGGACGCTGCTGCTGCTGACGACGAGCATCTGTCTACAACTGGCCCTGGAACTGTCGCGGCGACACCACCTGGCCAACTGAACTGCATAATGCACTGCTCGCATCACTGCACCAGCCAACAACACAGGACAAGAGATCGAACGGATTGCTGGTCGAACGAGAGAAAACAAAGAAGGAACGAGCGGATGGAAGCCAAAGTGTAAGCCCATGGATCTCTCTCGATCCCTGGCTCGCATGACAAGGTGTGGCTCCGAAATGGTCGCACACATGTTCGTGCACGATGACATCATACTGATGGACTCCTTCACATCCGCCCCCGTGCTGCGAGGCACGAGTTGCACCGCCCTCAGGACCCTTGTAGTCTTCAGTCCTCGGAATCGAATGCTCAGAGATCCTTACTCCTGCCGTCGCTCGGACGTCCATTTCCCGTGCAGTTGTCGGTGACGTGCGTGTTTTTTTTGCTATGGTCCAGGATGGTCCTCGATGGTCCTCGCCGAGAAAACAGGCACACGTCCGAGCGATGCCAAGCACTTCGACATCTCCAGGTCTCTGGGGTTCCCGGCGTGCCTCCCGCGGTGCGCTGGCACCTCCCGCATGACCAGGTTCGGAGCCGCGAGCGCCCCAGAACGGGCCAAGAGGGCTCCGATAGGCTGAGGGGCTACCACTCACTGGCCATCGCTCGGACGTCCATTCCCTGTGTTTTTTTTCTGTTTCTTGCGTGGTTTTTTTTCGCAGGATGATCCAGGATGCTCCTGAATAATCCCCGTCGAGAAAATGCACACGTCCGAGCGATACCAAGCCCAGGCACGGTGGCGGGATGAGCCGAAGGCCAGTAGATCCGCCGCTCCCCGTCGATTCATCGCAGGGGTGTGCCTGGCGTGCTGAATCCTCTCGGTTTGGGTTTTGGTTTTTTTTCAAAAAGAACTCCCCCTGGGGCTTCGGCGCGTGCCGCCGGGGCCCCAGTAAGACCAATAAAACGCACAAGCCATCGCCCAATTCCCAAATGGTCCTCCAAGACGGCTCAAGATGACCTCCAAGATGGCCACGTTGGCCCAAGATGGCCTCCAAGATGGTCCCAGATGGCCTGGAAGTCCGCCGAAGATGTTCCAAGACGGCATCCAAGACGGCCTCTGAGAGTCCAAGGTCACCCCAAGTTCGCCCAAGAAGCCTCCAAGACGCCTCCAAGACGGCCCGAGAGGCTTCGAAAAGGTCCTCCAGGAGGGCCCGGAGAGGCCAAAATCATTAATTTTCCTCAGAGGCCCCCAAGATCGCCCAAGAGGCCCCCAAGACGGCCCCATGACGGCCCAAGAGGCCTCCAAAACGGCCCCAGGAGGGCCCCAAGACGGCCCGAGAGGCCCCCAACACGCCCAAGCGCCCCAAGAGGGCCCCAAGTCGGCCCAGAAAGGCCCCCAAGACGGCTCCCGACGGCGTCAGACGTACCAGGAAGCCACCAAGATGGCCGAAGGTGGCTCGAAGCTGGCCCAAGACGGCGCAAGAGGCCTCCAAGAGGGCCTCCAGGAAGGCCAGAAGAGGCCAACAACATGTATGTTCCATCGATTTTTGACGTATTTTGACATTTGCTTCTTTTCGGCCTTCCGACGGCCCGAGACGGCCCAAGAGGCCCCCAAGATCGTCCAAGAGGCCCCCAAGAGGGCCCCATGACGGCCCAAGAGGGACCCAAGACGACCCCAAGAGGCCCCCAAGACGGCCCAGGAGGCCCGTAAGACGCCCAAGATGGCCTCCAAGACGGCCCCGAAGCGCCCCAAGAGGGCCCCAAGTCGGCCCAGAAAGGCTCCCAAGACGGCTCCCGACGGCGTCAGACGTGCCAGGAAGCCAACAAGATGGCCGAAGGTGGATCGAAGCTGGCCCAAGACGGCCCAAGAGGCCTCCAAGAGAGCCTCCAGGAAGGCCAGAAGAGGCCAACAACATGTAAGTTCCATAGGTTTTTGACATATTTTGACATTTGCTTCTTTTCAGCCTTCCGACGGCCCGAGACGACCCAAGAGCCCCCAAAGATCGTCCAAGAGGCCTCCAAAAAGGGCCCCAAGACGACCCCAAGAGGCCCCCAAGACGGCCCAGGAGGCCTGTAAGACGCCCAAGATGGCCTCCA